TATCTATCTATCTATCTATCTATCTATCTATCTATCTATCTATCTATCTATCTATCTATCTATCTATCTATCTGAGAAACAGGCAGCAAACCCCACACTCACTTGCACTGATGTTACCTAGCTGGGTAATGAAATATTTGCAAGCAAATAACCAAGCTCAGAGAGCACCAAAAACTGCACAAACTTTTGTTCATAACATTGAAGACATTTGATAATAGTGTTTCTCTAGAAAATGTGTAGCTGCATGGCAATAATTTCTTCCATTATAACATTTTATGCATAACGTGTAGGCCCACTACATTCTACTACTTTCAGTACATACATACGTACATGTCTGTGTTTGTGCTTTGAAATATACTCCTAGAAATTGGGAAAAGCAGTAAAAATTCAGCCAGTTGCACTGTTAAATATTTAAACAAGTGTGATTAAGCTGGCACCTTTACTTTGGAAAAAAATCAGACATAATTTCTCTATTCAGGTCAGGAACCAATTACTGCTTAGTTGCTGAAGACTGTTCTCTTCCTGCCTGATATTGACCCCCATGCTCAGATGCTCTTTCACAGTAAACAGTACGGCATGGGGTTCGGAAATAAAAAGCTAGATTTGCTGTAAAATAATGGGTTTTTCTGCCAAATAAAAACAATTAGGTTTAATCACACTTGTTTAAATACTCTGTTCTCATATGTAGTACGTTCTTGATTTAAAGCTGGCAGAAATCATTATTATCCTTTCTCTTGAAGTTAAATAATATTAGGAAGGGAAAGTCTAAGCCTTTAAGGTTCCATGACTGCTAAGTGCATATGCTTTTAATATAGTAAGTTTAAAAAACAAAAACATGCAATAGTTGTAGGCACTGAACCTCAGATTATTTAGTCTGTTTTTACAGCAGAATACGTTGAGATTATGAAATCCAAAAGGGAAAATATAAACCACAGAAAATCATTCATTTTTAAAATACAGACAAAAATTGGGTTTATCCATGTAATTTACAAATACTTCTGGTCAAACTGTGGCTTCACTCACAGTTCACTGCAATGGCAACTCTGTTCATTAGAGCAGGACTATAATAATTTATGGACAAATCTTATAAACATGAAATTTTAATCTTCCAAAATGGATATTTTCTAAAATACATCTTAAACATTCCAGTTTTCCTGCTAGAGAACAGCAACCTCAGTATTTTTATTAGAACATGCTATTCATTAAAATGAAATTCCATTCTGGAAAAAAAAAAAACATTTTCCTTATTTTTTTTCAATTATAGGTAGTGGTGTTTAAAAGAAAAAAAACAGGACACATTGAAACTGTAATCCTATACAAATCTTTTAATAAACTCTGTTGATTTTACTGAGATTTATTGCAGATAATGTAACTGTATCTGCATTCTTGATATATAAACATCTCTACTTCATAATATTATTGTAAATTAGTTTTTGAAACAGAAATTCACATAGAAAATTACAAGATTTCTTGATGCTATTTACTCATTTTTATTTATTTTATCTATTGTGTAAGATAAAAAAGAATGTATCTGTTGAAGGCCTGACATCATCAGAGTAGAGTTTAAATGCAACCAGTGAACCTTCTGCCCTGTATTTTTACTGATCCCATATTTCCCATGCTTTACTTCCTTCCCACCTCAACTAAGCTTTATTGATTTTACAATTACTACCCAGAGGTCATTACAGCAAATGAATCTATAACTGAATGATGTAAACTTCATTACTGAATGTAATGTTTTTCCTTACTTCTAGATGCCACCTCTTTCTTCTATTTTACCTGAAGTGCACTACCACCATCTTAAGAAGCTTTTTATTCAAAGAACAGGGTAATAGGGAAGAAAATATAAATGTTTATCAAACTAAAATGTGTGATCTTTTTACATATTTAGTTGTAATGTGCAACCTGCCAAGTACTACTGTCACACAATTTTTAATCCTTTCTGTGGAGTTCACATAAAAGTTGGTTACAAACTCTACTGAAATGACTGAATAATGTGTAGCAACAATATTGCCCAGATTGCACATTTGGTGTATACTGTAGCTAGTCCTCGCTTAATAACCATTCATTTAACGATGGTTCGAAGTTATGACAGCCTCAGAAAAAGTGCTTTACAACCTGTATTCGCACTTATGACCATGGCAAAGCATCGCATTCCCCCCGCGGTCACATGAACAAGATTTGCAACCTTTTTATGATCATTAAGCGAATCACCGCAGTCATTAAGCGAATTCAGGCAAAAAATCTCCATTGGAGAAGCTGGATTCACTTAACGACCATGTGATTCACTTAACGACCATGGTGATTTGCTTAACAGCCATCATAAAAATGGTTGTAAAATTGGGTCCGGTCACGTGGTGATTCACTTAACAACTGCCCCCTTAACGACCAATTTTTCAGTCCTTATTGTGGTTGTTAAGTGAGGACTACTGTAGTTTAATTAACAATAATTGCTAGTTTTTAAAAGTATACATCCTCAAATATTTGGCCAATGTGCAGAAATAATGCTTTTATCAAAAGGGGGCCCTCATTTTGAAACTTATTCCATCTGTTTTATTGTAATATACTAGAATTCATGTATTTATGGTGCATTTCTTTTACTATGTGTCTCATGTAAATGGATATAAATATGATTTTTTTAAAAAAAATCTGTGGTACATGGGGTCTTAGTGCAAACACTTGACAATACATTGTCAGCTATACTGTTTGTATCTTTCCATTCCACTATTTTTTACAATTTTGAATTGTAGCAAAGTCAACTGGATATTGGATAGCAAAAAGTTATTAGATGCTTCAACATGTTCCTACTTTTTAAAGAAATATGCCAATATTTAAAGTGAATCCTTGCCTCTGATGATCAAGAGGGAAAAGATTAAAACATGAAACTTGAGCCAAAAATGGACCTATAAAGGCAAAACAGCTCTCTCTCACTCTCTCTCTCTCTCTCTCTCTCTCTCACACACACACACACACACACACACTTGTAGAAAAGCACTGTGACTGCTCTTCTTTCTAAAACCAACATGAATAAAAACGTTGCAAAAGTCAGAACCAATTACAGAAAGCAAGAGACTTTTTCCTCAATGGCTACGAAGAAGCAATTACTGTACCAAGAAGCAGCTAGCTTTGCTAGTATTCTTTTTTTCCCCCAAATTCTTCACATGCTAGCTAAAATTGGCCTAAAACAAAATGATGAAGAGAAATCTGATTTTCAACTTTTCAGTTGTATAACAATACCCTCCATGTCTTCATTATAATAGGGTATTGGACAGCTGCTTGTCTAATGTTAGGCTTTCATTCAAAGTGGCCTTGCTGAGACTTCACAGAAGTCAACTTTATCAGAGGAAATAACTAAAAGACAGAACAGTTATTATATACTGTATAGAAGTTTAGAGGAGAAACTATTACCTGCTGTGGTTTTATTTGGTGGTGTTATTGATGTTTACCCTTTGTTATATTGGAAGTTTCAAAGTAAGAACTATTTAATAATGTAATTTACCTACTCTATTTGCTAATATCTTGCTGCCTGATTGATCTTATTGTAGCTTAAGACCTGTCCTTCAGCAGGCTTATCTGCAAAACATCTGCACGTGCATTTGTTTTACTGCATTTTTAAAATTTTAAACAGATTTCAGTTAACTAAATGGTGACAGATTTTTTTCTCTCCCCCGTTGTCAATAAAATAAAATCAGTGCTCTTTTATGTGTTCTGTCTGTGATAGAGCTGCACACATCATGGTTTCAAGCATAATTTTTAAACATGGTTAAAGGGATGAATATAAGCAAAACATTCTCATGTATTAAGCAATTAAATATGGGTGTACAAAATGTTTCCAATTCAAATAATTTGGAATTTGAGAGACCCCATTTTGAGTTTGAAGCAGTTGTTGTAAGTTCAAAGTGGCTATTACTATCACAGTGGCCTATCTCAATCATGGAGATCAATACATTTCTAAAAAGTTCAAAAGATTTGTTTCATATTTCAAACACAGTGTTTTAAAATTGAATAACTCAATTTAATTCAAAACTATCTGAATTTAAAACATTTTGCACACAGCTAGCAATACCCCTGCAGACTGTACTTTGCCACAAAATCACGGTGTGAACATGCTGCCTTGTGAGTTTCACTTAGTCTAAATTCATTTTCCAAGCATCTTTGAGATTAGTACACATCAACCATCAGTGATAGAAACCTGGCAGTCTAAACTTGATTTTATCAAGTACTTGGAAACGAATGTGAGTGATATTCAGTCTGTGTTGACAAGAGCACATGTAACTAGTGATTCCAGAGAATAATTTAGGAAATAGCAGTGGAATGGACAAAAATCAGTGAAGTTGAGGATCAGCTTATACAGGGCTTACAAGTATATTTCAACTGGAAATAGTTAACTATAGCAAACAGTCCTGTAATTAAAATCAGACTTTTGAAAACTACAGGGGAAAAAAACTCTGGCAAAAAAATCTGTTATGGCATGATGGTGGGCAGATTTAAAATCAGCCAATCTCTTCCTAAAACTACTTGCCAAAATCAAAGCACAATCTCTAATTTGCAGAATTAAAAGAAAGCAATACTGTTATACTTCCAAGTGAAAAAGTAAGTACAGGTAGTCCCCAGGTTAAGAACGCCCAGTTTAAGGATGACCCATAGTTAAGAACAGAGCTTATTGTAGCAAAATTCTAGTTAAATATACAATGATTTGAGTTAATTACACAATACTACTTATATAGTATTATACAATAATACTGTTCCGGCTTACATAC